GTGCTTGTACCAGTTTCTGGCCTTTGTCCCACCGAGCGACGGGAGCCTGAGGAAAGCAGGCACGGCCGCGGTGATGGTGGATGCCCAGCACCCGCTCACCCTGCGGCTCAACGCCTCGGTGGGCGACGGGGAGCTCTGCAAGTACGTGGCCCGGCCCCGGGGAACACCTGGAGAGATCTGTCTAGAGTTCGGCCTTGCCCTCGCTGCGGTAACTTGGCGGCAGGTGCAGTTACTGTGCTGGAAGGATGTCGGTGCGAGCCAGCGTGTGAGAGCGAGCGCCTGGTTTCTCTAGCAGAGGGTCTGCAGTTCAGGGAGGCAGGTGGTGTGTGCTAAAAGCATCAGTGCTGGGCTAGGGGAGGGTGATGGTTGGCAGCGACAGAGCCAGGCAGCTCCTCCCTAGATCACGCTGTTCGGCCGGTCTCCAGCTTGACTTTTCCGCAAGCGTCTGGGCTTGCAGCCCCTCAGGAGCTGCTGTGGTACCCGCACGTAACAGTGAGGGCTCAGCAAGTTTTGTTTCCATTTATCCTTTGCAGGATTCAGTATCATTTTGGAGAGTTTGGCAATTATTCCCTTGTGGTAAAGACCCTAAGCACAAGCACCAAAACTGTTTCTTGTGACCTAGTCATCAACGAAGGCCCCATCAACAGCTACCTCCGTATGTAATGCTCTGTTCTCCCCTTTCATTCTACAACTTGCATGTTTCCCAGCAGAACTAACTTCTCAAAAAGCCTGTGCAGCGTCCCATGCTGTGCTGAAATGTGTCATGGGCTTGCTCTTCTCTCAGCATATTACCTCCTCATGTTTTATACACCTGTATTGAGGCCCTGACCAGGATCAGGCCCTCTTGACATGATATGTTAACTGTATGACCACAACCTTTTTGCAGCAGGGATTAGCCCAGAAAAATCAGTGGGTATGGGTCCGAAGGGACATATTTTCATAGTTAGTACCTGCTTCCCTGCATGTTTACGTATCTACACAGAATCCTCCCTCTTCTTCCCTCTGTTTACTTCTCTCACAAAACGGGAAACAGTTCATACAGTGTTTGGATTTTTGTTTGTTGTTGCGCTTTTATTTTTAAACCTCACGTCATGCTTTTTTGTTCATTTCTTTTCCAGGGTTGTCTCAAACTCTCGTCTACACCTCTTCCATTCTTTTCCTTTACATTAAGCTATTCTTCAGTCCACTCCTTCCAGTTCTCCAGCTGGAAAGAAAAATTCTCCATGCTTGCAAACTTTGTGTATTACCCTCTCCCCTGTCTTCTTCTTGTTGAGGCTGTTTCTAAGTCTCCAGTTTCTTCTTCAGAACATGCAGCACATTGGGTCTTTTCTTACCATTGCCTTGTGATGCAGTGCAGTTTTATTTTGCCTATTTTGTGCTGAGATGTACAGTCACAGAGGTGCACTGTGAAACTCGCCTGCTTTTGTTTCAGGATGTTTTGGCATTTTGTTGTGGATTTTTTTTACCTCTAAGACTCAGGCTGGGGATGTATGGCATTGAGAAGGTGGTGTCATGAGTGGCGAGTTGGACTTTTTGTCATGTTTGTGTCATGCTTGGCCAAGCTCAGGATGATGAATGATTTTGTTAGATCATTTATAGAGTTGTATTCTTTTCTCTTTCATGTAGCTATTCTTTTTGCTTTCCTGGTTTATATGGGCATCCTTGCTATTGTGATTGCTGGGCGCCTTTTTATGAAGTAAGTGAACAGTACTGTAATACCTCCTTGAACGTGAAGTGGAGCCACCAGTTTAAAAACATGTCTCATAGTGTTGTAGTCCTTCAGAGCCCCACCTGTAGCCCTGCTGGCAGGTCAGGTACTGATACCAGGTTGCCACCTACAAGTTAAGCTCTGGTAGATGTCTGTGTCAATAAATGCAGAGTGATACGATTTCCTTTGAGGGGTCTCTTGCAGCCTTGTTAACTTGCCTGTAGAGCAGCTACGCCTGAGCAGCTGACACCTGCTGTGAGCTCGCACACCCTGCCTCATCCTCTTCTGACTTGTTCCTGGGTCTAGCCCTGAACTGACAATAAAAGTCAGGAGGACCTAAGTGTGTGTGACATATGCAGCCTTCCATCCTGTGCAGCGAATGATGCGAGTCATCCCTGCCTGTAAAAAAACCCGAGAATCAAGCCCCTGAACCTGAGCTTCTGGCAGTGTAATTCCACAGCTACACTTAACTGAGGTCGTAGGTATTGGCTGAATCTTGGTATTACATGTAAGCTGGGAAAACAGGAATAGGACTGCCCCAACTTCTGATCTATGCTGCAAAATAGTTGATGAAATTGGCTTGTTTTGTTTTGTGTTTTAAACTGTTACTAACTTTCAGAATTGATCCAGTCAGAAACTGGGTTTACAAGAAACTGAACCCCAGAGAAACTGATCGCCTGATTAATTCTGTGAGTGACCACAGGTATCTTTAATTTGCATTCGGTAGTGTTTTCATCTCTGAGGAGCACACACTATCCAGACATCTGGGGGCTTATTGCTAACCATGTTCCCATTGTGTGTGTTCCCCTTGGGGCATGTATTGATGTCGGACAGGCAATTTTATGTCAATGCAGAGTGCTAGACTAGGTTTCCATGAAAGCTGAGTGGATTCCCAGCAGAGCTCTTCCAAGTCTTGAACGTACAGATTTGTGCCCCCTTTAGTTCTCTAGAAGCAAACGTATTAATCAAAATAATGTCCCCTTCTGACATACACAATGTAAGGGAAGGGAAGAAATGCCCCTTTTCATGTCTGCTTCTAGCACAGTAGGAATTTTAGCGGGATCTGCACTTAAGTCAAGATTTCTCTGGCAGCTCTAGAGCTGACATTTCTGTATGAGCCGTGTTTTGTACTAGAATATAAGTAGATCATCGCAGTCTGGGCTTACCATCTAAAGAGGTCCAAGCCTGTCTAGAATTGTAAGACTTGGATCAGAGCTCTGCACTAATTCTTGTAGTTGCTCATCTCCATAGCTGTGTTACAGAAATGTCTGCTTCTTTATACTACCACTGGGGCTGATAAGAGTGATTTAGGGAACTGGAAAGGAATGAAGACACTCCTGCATTTAAAAGGATTTGTTTTCTGCCAGTTTAGCTCTCTAAACAGTCCCTCTGTGGTGTCAGACATGCCAATGGGGTGGGATGGATCCTGCTTGAGAGTCAGCAATTGGATCTGCTCAGCTCTTTCTAAAGCAGCATTCGCAGTAATGACAGGTCTGTAGCTGATTTGGACTGGACCAAACTCTCAATGAGGCTGAAACACAGGCTCATTTCACCACGTTGTTGTTTCCACCCTGGTCAGAGGTGGAGCATGGAGCATCTGCAAATATTATTGCAATATGGTGGAGCCATGAAGGGGTTAGAAGTAGCAAGTGGGGAAACAAAAGGAGGAGGAAGATGGGGAGGACAAAGAGAAACACAGTATGTGAAAGTTTGTGTTTTGCTGACCTCTGTTCCCTAGTCAGATGATGCAGCTGCTGACTTGCCCTTCATGTGCCTTGTTTGTTCCCAAAGGAACTTGGGTCCCCGAACATCACTAGCAGTGATCCCACCCCACATTTGTGGAGCACAACCACTCGGCAGCGGCTGCGTTCCCTGGACACATTCCGAGGGTGAGCGTAGGACCTTGGTCAAAAGCAACTCTTCCAAGGGGAATGAGATTTTTCCAGTGGCAGTTTGATAGTGTATAGAAATATACAGCAGATGGACAGTTCAAGGGGGTCTGTTTTGCTTGGAAGATAATCAAGGTTTTAATTCTTGGATTTTCCAAAACACTTTGCAGTTGATCTAGTTTGAGGAAACATTAAAATTGCAGCAGAGAGTGGAAAAGAACAACATATGTTCAGTGCAAAAACGCTACGTGAAGGAGCTTACTTTGGTTCATTGCCAGGCATGATCGTTGAAATGCTGCTTCCTGGTTGGCAAAACTGGAAACCTTGTACATAATCTTGCTTTAAAAATCCAGTAAACCAGATCTCACATTTAGAAATGTTTTAATGGGGTAAACATTAACTATGCATTCAAATATATGTATTTCATTGACATGCAATACATTGTGTGTGTTTTTGTTGTCATTTTAGGCTCTCTCTTATAATTATGGTGTTCGTTAACTATGGAGGAGGAAAATACTGGTTCTTCAAACATGAGAGTTGGAATGGTAAAGTACAGTTGAGACAGTTAATCTGAGTTTTAGCTGCAGCAATATCTAGATATGGTCAGCACTGCAGCTGCTGCAGCAGCAAGCTGTTGCTCAGCTGAAGCCTGGGGTGCTGTGCCAGTTTGCCTCAGCGGGTTATCTGCCCCAGTAGCTTAATGAGCAAAGCAGTGTGTAGTCCTGCTTGTCACACAGCAACAGGACGGTTTCAGGTCACAATCTGTGTGTACAAACTTCATTTTTGACACAGGTTCCTATCTTTAACTTTTCCGTCTTGTTTAATGACCACAGTCAAGCTGATGGTGCTCATTGCTTTACAGACGTAATGCCTTGACAGACTGACGGGGAAGGGGTTGGGCATCATGCTGCCCTGGTAGAGAAGAGCAAAGATCCCACCCCTGAAATCTTTCCCAGGACACAGCAATCAGTTATGACCCTATTTCTGAAGCATGATAAAAGCAATGAAGCAAGACGGTTAGCTCTTTGTAAATTTTGTATATAATGTGGTTTTGATTTTGAGGCATCAAATAATTGCAAGCATCCTGCAATTCCTCTGGAAACTCAGGGAGGGTTTGAGGTAAATAATGTGTTCCTTCGTATTTCTCTGTAGGATTAACAGTGGCCGATCTGGTGTTCCCATGGTAAGTCTTCCTGAAGAATAGTTCTTGTGTCAAGGGATTCTTGAGGTTAACGGTTGCAAGGAGAACACTGAGAGCATCTTGATTCCATGTGCAAATATATCTGAAGGGGTAACTTTGTGTCAAACAGTTGATAGGAATCTGCCCCTCTAGCTGACAGCATCATCCTTATGAACCAGTAGTAGAGCTAAGTGCTTCTGTCTGCCCCACGTCCTCCTCCTTCTTTCCCCCACACAATGTCAGTGGGAGGGCCAGGGTTACTCTGCCAGTGGAAGTGCAGTATCCCTGAGGAGCTCACTGCCATGCTGCTGTGTTGAAGTCAGTTGATCTGGCAAGATTCAAAGCAAGACTGATGTGTATCCAGAGATAAAAGAGCCAACGGAATTTGGAATTAAAATAATCTCTCTATAACCGGAGAATGGTTTTACGGGGAAGCAGTTATCCCATCTGCTTCTAACAGGCTTCTCTAAAATACACATCAGTTGTGGTTACTCTTGGGAGATGGGACTTGGACTGTCAACCTAATCTAGAGAGGAGGAGCAGGTGTGTTCTGAATTTGAATCGCAGATTTGCATCTTGTGTTTTACTGCTCTGAAGACGCTAATTTAATTTTGATTAGTGGATTTTTTTGGTGACAGATCTATCACTGCAAAAAGACCAGAATGCAATTACTTCCACGAACTTTATTGTCTCAGCTGACTGCTGAAAGAGGTGGAAAGGTCCTACAGTGCAAGCTCAGTTGTCTCAAAATTCCTAGCAATCAGAGGAAAAGTTGTCCAATTCCACTCGATGCATGCATTTCTGTTGGGCCAATGCAGTCCTCTCTGTTAGCTTTAGTGTTTACTGTCACGCACACGCGTGATGAGACATCTGTCAGCTCCATTTCCCATCTGCTCTGTTCTTCAGGTTTGTGTTCATCATGGGAACATCGATATCCTTGTCACTGAGCTCCATGCTGAGGTGGGGAAGTTCCAAGGGGAAGGTGCTTGGGAAAATCCTCTGGAGGAGTTTTTTGCTAATCCTGCTGGGAATAATAGTTGTGAATCCCAATTACTGCCTTGGACCACGTGAGTGGAATTTGCTCTCTTCCTTGTATTTCTGCAACTTTTGTTCCAGCCTCCTTGACTGGGCTCTTGAAACAACAGCGCCAGCCTTGATGTGCTGACCAGTTGCATGAGGGTAGTTCGATGGTATCCTACAGAGTGCCATTCGTTTCTACACTGACCCAGTTCTCTCAGTTTGACCCCTGTGCTGTCACTGTTTATCGTCTCAGTGGTGGCTTTCCCAGGGCTGTGACTGACTGAAAGTGGGGTGGTGGAGTGGAGCTGTCCCTTGTACCTGCAGGTGCAGTGGGTCTCAGCTCTCCCTGGACAAGGGCAGCTTTCATATTCACAAAAGAGCCCACGTCTGCTCCTCTTCCACATAGCTTGTGTGTTTTCCAGTGTCCTGGGATAACCTGCGTATTCCTGGGGTGCTCCAGAGGCTGGGATTCACGTACCTGGTGGTTGCTGCTCTCGAACTCCTGTTTACAAGACCTGAGGCTGAGAGTGGGACCTTGGTGAGTTTACTGGGGAGGTGACAAGTGATACTGGAGTAGGGTTTAGGAGCTTTCCCTCTTGTTTGGGCACAAAGAATACATAGCAAATGATGTGAAAACACATAGCATCTTACCTGACGTGTAGTGCAGCCTGGCAAAAATTTGAGGGAACGTGCACCCTTCTGCTCCAGTCTGCATTTTATCACATCGAGCTTTGCTCTGTTTGAAGATTTCACCGATCCATTCAGATGGCGCTGAGAAGCAGACATTCCCAGGTGCTTTTGATGACTTTCCACTGCCAAGGGACCCCACAGACAGGCATCTCTGTGCTGAGTCCTGTGGCCTGTGTTTTGTCCGGGTTAATTTTGGCAGTTTTTTTTTCACAGCAGGGGAAAGTAATACTGCTTTTTGGCCCTTCTGGAGTCTGTTTTCCCAAAAGGCTTTTGTTCTACTCATGAATCAAAATTCCTTTTGACATTTTCCAAACTAAAAAACATTGTAGGCTTTTGTTTTGGTTTGTTTCTTCCCCCTCCTCCAAGTAACTAAGTGTCTGGAAATCATTTGTGAAGATGAAAGGTCTGTTGGTAGAACTCAGTTTTCTAATGACAAAAGCACCCTCTTCTATCTGAGGGACTGCCTGCCAGGAATTATGGGATGCCCCCAAGGGCATGGTTTTTACTTGCCAGCTAATACTCCTCTCCCTTCCGCCTCATGCAGGAGACACCATGTCCTGCTCTGCAGGATATTCTCCCATACTGGCCACAGTGGATTTTCATTCTGATCCTGGAAGTGATTTGGCTCTGCCTGACCTTTTTGTTACCAGTGCCAGGTTGTCCCAGGTAAGACTGTGTGCTCAGACTACCTGCTCTGGGGCATCAGATTGGTTTTGTTCTAATGAGTAGAAAATACATGGTATTAGCCACAGGGAAGGAACGGAGAGGAGAGCTTTTAGGCCAGCAGGGTTAAGGGAAACATTCATAATCTAAAAAAATTTATGTTACTTTTGTACTAAAGTGCCGGGTGTTATAAAGGTGACATCTTTGTTCCCTTCTATTGAAAGAGGAGTATTAAATCTCCCTGAGGTCTGTGTTCAGCGATACACGATCATTGCAATCTCATCCCTGTCTCTCCCTTTGCCCCTTTAACAGGTCAGCACCTGCAAAGCAGGTGGAGCAGCTGGCCGGGTAGCCAGGGCTGAGCTGAAGCATTGCTTTAGGCTCACAATACTGCCTGTCCCCTCGTGACCCAGCTGCCCATGGCATCGTGATGATTGAAACAGAGGGGCCACCAGCCAGCTGTCATGTAGGACTTGCGTTTCACTGCGTGCCTCTGGCCAGGGTAGACATGCGAGCGTTTAGCGTGCTGGGCCAGTGGACCAGCTACTCTTCAGGTGGAGCGTACCAAGACTTTGCCACAGCCTGTTTGCTTCTCTCCTAGGGGCTATCTCGGTCCTGGGGGCATTGGAGACTTTGGAAACTATCCGAACTGCACTGGCGGAGCGGCTGGTTACATTGATCGTTTGCTTCTTGGAGAAAAGCATATATATCAGCATCCCTCTTCAAGTGTAAGCAGCTTTTGTATTGCAGTACAAAGCTGCAGGCAAGCGCTGACCATAGCTCAGTCGGGGGGGCTTGGGAATGATGCGTACAGGGGGATGGAAGAGAAAGGTGGTTGGTTACTCAGGCGCCCTGTAACAACTGTTTTCTCTGTAAGGTGATTTACCAAACAATGATGCCATATGATCCTGAAGGGATCTTGGGGACCATAAATACCATTTTTATGGCATTTCTGGGACTACAGGTACCTCTTTTCTTTCTAACTGCATGCTATAATAGGAAGACTTGAAGGAATCTTGGAAGTGGGGAGGCTGTTTGGTTTCTTTATTTAAGGCTGAGACAGGTTCTAACAAAATGTTTGCCAGAGCAATCCTTTCAGGCTGACTTAGCCTGAGGGTGAGTGTCAGGGAAGTGGAATCTAACCTGGCAGTAGCTTGGACTAGATAAACTAAGACTTCTTCTCATTTTTTTGTAAGGGATGGAGACAAGAAGTTCGCAGAATATCCACCCAGAAGCTTCCTGTGCTTGTTTTAAGGTTGGGCTTATGCTGGCACCAGGCTGGTTCTGCGTGTTGAAGAACCAGGCCAAGAGATAGATAGACTTCACAGCTTCATTTTAAACATACAGTTTTAAAGGTTGCAGCTGTACACATTCCCCGTTTTCTGCCTGCCATGCAACGTTAGCTGCCTTGCATAGGTGCTATGGGTGTGCTCACCTTCCCAGACACAAGGGAGGCAGGGGTTCACATTAGTGTTACCAACATCAAAAGCTCACAGCTCACCACTGTGTTTAAAATAGGGTATCGTGGTGGTTTTGGACACAGTTCTCATTAGTCACTCTTGGCTTTTCTGTCTGTGCAGTAGCAGTTAACCAAACCAAAACTCTTCTGCTGGGAAGGGAATGTTACCACATGTAGCACTGGGTGAAAATTGATTGGCAATCTCTGCAGGGCCTTTCAGCCACTTAGTTGATATAAATCCTATTCATGTTCTCTGTCTTAGCACAGGTAGCCAGTGGCAAATATATCTCGCTCTTGAAACGTAGTTATTACATTTATGGGCATTAATTATTTTTTGTATTCTTTTTATATTAGGCAGGAAAAATTATCTTGTTCTACAAAGACCAGCACAAACAAATTATGACTCGGTTCATCTTATGGAGCATAGTAATGGTAAGTCAGATAGTTATGTAGCTCCTTAACAGACTTGCATTTTTAGGCAACACAAACTTAGTATATCTGAAACACTGCAATGGTTATATATACTTTATCAACTTTCTATTTCAGGGAATTATTTCTGCTATCTTGACAAAATGTTCTAAAGAAGAAGGGTTTATTCCCATAAACAAGAACTTATGGTAAGCAGAGATAAAACTTGTAGTATGATTTTGTTAAAGTACTGTTTTACCTTGGAGAATGTTTTATGTTGAGAATGTTTTATGCTGAGAATGTCTTATGTTGAGATCTGCCTGTATTGCATAGTTCTCCATCTCTGTCTACTGAAAATGTGTGCAGGTCAATATCGTATGTGACAACTCTGAGCTGCTTTGCCTTCATCCTCTTATCGCTGATCTATTACCTTGTGGATGTCAAGAGACTGTGGTCGGGTGCTCCATTTTTCTACCCAGGTCAGTAAATTCACAGCAGGCAATGTATTCCTTCCAACTCTTCCTGCACTGATACTATCCTTTTCTGTTTTCTGCACTTCCCTTGTCTTTAAAAGACTTGGGATTTAGAATGAGGTAACCTGAAGAATGCCAGAACAATTAACTTGAGCTGGATCTTTGAGTAGAACTGGGACACTCGAGACCAGATGTTTAGGAGAGGGACCGTCAAATCTTTAAATGAGGGCTAGGAGCTGCTATTGCCCAACGACTGTTCTCAGTTTGGCCTTGAGTTAACTGCTGCCTAGGACCAAGCAAAATACCACAGCTGATTCATAATTGGTTTTGGAAAGGACTGCTGAGACTTGGGCAACCTAATGGGAAACTCAAAGGCCTGTCAACAGAGCAATACCACTTCTGAAGATGTGAAAGATGAAATCCCCCGGACAGCTGCACGGGTTCTGTATCTGTGTTTTTAGATAAGCCTGTCTCCCAAAGCATCCCGCTGTGGTTTTAACCACACTGGGCTCTTGACAAACATCCTGAGTACAGAATGCAAACCCACAGCAGAGGGAAACTTTCAGCAGCTTTGGTGTCTGGTGTCTGGACAGGAAGATGGGTAGGATGACAGCATGGTATTATATCTCCTACCAGAACTCCCAGAGCTTTGAAGGGCAGTCAGCGTTTGTTTGTAAAGGCAGTAGATCTAACCAAATAGGTTGGCACTTGGCCACCTTGAAAACAATAACTGATTATTCTCCTTGCCAAGAAAATTGCAGGATACTGATTTGGTTGCACTTTCAATTTGGCATATAGGTTGTATTTCTTTTCAATAAACGTTTTGCAGGAGAGAACCCTTCAGACTCTAGTTGAAAACACACGTGTGTAGCACCTTTGGGCAAGTAACATTAGCTGTTGTGATTAGCTGTCGTTGCCTCGATGCCTCTGCCTGCTTACTCTGAAGCAGGCTTATACCTGCTCTTTCAGGTGGTGTGATCTGTGCTTACCTTTCAGGAATGAACTCAATCCTGGTCTACATTGGACACGAAGTCTTTGAAAACTACTTCCCTTTTAAGTGGAAGATGCAAGACAGTCAATCCCATGCAGAGCATCTGACTCAAAACCTCACTGCAACAACTCTTTGGGTCATAATATCATATTTACTTTACAGGAAAAGGATATTCTGGAAAATCTGACTGAGGTGGTCACAGTGTAGCAGGCCTAGATTCTGATGGGGCAAGTGCATAAGGTGGATTAGCCTAAAATATTGCCACTCGTACTAGGCTGTATTACTAAAAAGGGATACTAGTTCAAGTTTACAGTGCCATGCAAGTTGTCATCAAGACTTTTATGTGACTTAAGGGACAGTATTTTTCCTACTTAGCAAAACCTTATTAGTCTGCTTCAGCTGCTCTCTTTCCGTTTTCTATATTTTGTAAATATTTTACAGATCTCCCTCCTTTGTACAGAGAAACTAAATATATTGCAACAGTTGGGCAGTCAAAGGCAGCCTGATGGTGCTTATGAAAGGAACTGCAAGGGATCTGGGTGGTGACTGCAAGGGATTATCAGACTGGGACTCCGAAACAGTCCCTGCATCTGACAAGGCACCCCCTAACTCACACGGTTTGGGGATTGTATATGCCCTTGGCACCTGCCGCTTGCCTGCGCCAGTCTGGCTACTGGCACACATTTAACTCAGCCAGCTTTGTGACTGAGGAGCGCTGGCAGCATCCTCAGCCCTGCACTTGGGTCTGCATGCAGTGACTGTGGGGGAAAACTCGGAGGCACCTCTGCACTACAGCACGCTGCAGGAAGTGGTGACTCAGCTGATCGTTCTTCACTGTCTTCAAATTTGGTCAAATTTGATCAGAACCTTAGGTTTAAGATGCTGCCACCGAAGATCTCTTCTACTGGCTTATTAATCAGCATGCTGCTGCTACAAGTCTAGCAGCCCGTCTGGGCGTGTTCTGGGCCTTTGTGTTCCACACCTCTAGCATGGATGAGGCCTGGGTTTTGCATGCTACGCTCCGAGAGTGCAGAAAGGCCAGTTCCTACTGACTTTGTATAATCACTTGGATACTACCGAAGTTTGATCAAAGGAATCCTCTTTATAAATGAATTTATGTAAGGGCCCTGAATATGAAAACCAGGAATACAGGTAGAATTCAGCCAAAAAGGAAGAGGTAGCAGACCGATTCAATGTAAGATAATAATTTTTTGAAACTGAGGATATTCACTCATGCTGTGACTTCCAAGCTAGTGCTAATAAAAATCCTGAAATGCCCTGCTATGTTCTCTGTGTATGTATAAAGATGGAAGGAACTAATGTGCATACCTTAGTATAATGCTGTGGGGGGGAAAAAAACAACACAAAAGAAATAGGACACAGAGAAGACTTCTTAAACAAAGTTTTATTTATAAAGTTTGATCTACCCCCATAAGAAAACTAAGTGGTGAACAAACACCGACTAGTGCTTGTGTACTGCAGAGGCTGTAACTCATAGGGAACTTCTTTGACTCTGTCAAGTGATTTTCCACTGCCTTGCTGCTGTTCATACAATTGAGAGCCTGCCCCCCCTCTGTAAGAGACATTGCTTTCTGATCCAGTCCGTTCAAGCCAGAGTCTGAAGCAGCAGTATTTTCTCGTTAATGCAGAACCTGTGCAAGACCACCATGAGATTTTCCCCACAGCGTGAGACCTGGCGCTCCATGGCCAGGCGGAAATCTTCTTTCACTCCTTTAGTTATACCCCGGGTAACTGTATGATGCCTTAAGCCATGAAGGAAAGAGAGACAGACAAAAATCAAGTAACGGTTATTTGGTGCACTACAGTAATTTAAAAGGTGCTGCATGTCACTTACTAGGTATCTACTGTCTGTACCCAAGTTTATGTAAGGAGAGCCAAATAGCCCATGCTATGCTGTTTTTTAAAAATCATCTATCTAGTAGCTTACAAGTCTTTCAACAGTTAGATGCTCCATGGAAGTCTATGCTCTCACTGCTTTGATTGTGACTGTTTGGGGAAAAGTCTATCCTCTTAACCCTGCATGTATAGTTCCCCTTGTGTGGGGGAAAGTGTTGTTTTTCTTTTGGCTCTACCTTTGCTGCCCAGGCCACTTCCTTCTTGTAATCGCTTCTATAAATGGTTAGGGTTGAAAGAAGAGTGAAGAGATCAGTCTGCTTTCTCTGGAGGAAGGGGACAGATGGCTGCCACCATAAAGAGCAGAGGGCATCTTGTACTGGTAGGAAAATGCAGGAAGGGCCTATATAATCTTGAGGGCACTAATAACTCTTTGACTAATGAAAGGCGTAGTGAATACTTCACAGGCCAACACAAAGCCCAAATCAAGCCAGGCTGTCAGTCTGCATCAGTAGAAGCCAGCTCTTGCGGAGATACCAGACACCAGGCAGGGATTCCAATTACCATGAGCAGAAGTTCAGCCCTTGTTTTGAAACACAAGGAACGTCCAGCTAATAAGCAAGCTAACGCGATGCTGGCTGGGGAAACTCATGGGATATTGCCATGTTAAAAGCCGTTCTTATGAACAGTTCTTTGTCCTCACACTGGCCTGCAGCAGTCAATACCTACATCTTGTCTTTAAAACAATGTTCTGCGGCACCAAAGCGCTACATTTTACTTGCACTGGTCCAGAACTGGATAAGTAAGATCAAGACCTTGTAACATCTACCTGCAAGCCCTACTTGGGAAGGGAAGCAAAAGATAGGTCCTGAAATAAGAGACCTAGCACTGCTAAAGGTGCAGCGTAAATCAAACTAGAGAGAAAAGCATAATGCTAACGCTGAGACAAGTCCTGAGTTATGGGTAAGAAGGGAAGAGCTGAGCCGAACCCAGCAAGCACACTGAAAGACAGAAAAGAAAGAAAAAATAAAGGGTGACGGCATCCCTGCCAATCCAGAGATGCTGGAAACAAGAAAGGGAAAAGTCTGGTAACAAATCACCCTCACCCACCCCACTTTCACTGAAATTAAGCAAGTCTGGCATTTGAGAAAAGACTCTGCCAAAACAGCGGAGACCTCTAACACACGGAAAAGGCCAAGAAGAGATTAGCCAGGAGACTACTGGGCAATTCATTGACGAGCTAGGCTGAGCGAAGCAAAACTGCACTGAAAATACTCCAGCGTATTCAGAGGTTACGGGATAAGCCCTGTTTTCCATCTTTATTGTCTTAAACACTGCTGGCAGCCAAGTCCTATGGTCAGTTACAACCTGAAGGAGAATACGCAGCCTACAGCTACTGAACAAGCCAGCAGCCCTTTTGAAGATGTGTGTCGTGTAAGAGCTGGAAAACAGAAAACAGAATTCAGAACAATTTAAATGAAGAAAAGTAGCTACAAACAGATCTAGTAACCAGCATCTTGAAAAGAAAGGGTTATACTCTTGCTAATACGTGACTGACCACTGGTATCATTTGGGGAGATTTCTACATTTTTGTTTAAATTCAACAGTGATTATTAAATTGAAAGGACACAGATACTGGCAACTTATGGGAAAAAGAAAAATAAATGTTGTAATAGAAAACATGGTTTGCCAGGCAATGTAGGCACAAATGGAGGTTAAAAAAAATACAAAAAAAAAGGAAAATATTGAGCAACAAATCGCTGAAAACCATGGGCAGTAAAACATGTTGACAAAACACAGCACACTATGAGCAGGGTTTTTCCACTTGGTACCTGTCAGCAGTCTGTATGCTGGGTTGTAGCACAGGTATGACTTCCTGCTGCAGTAACCCCATGGGAGGGCTAGAAGTCCTTTAAAAAACAGCAAACAGCAGCATTCAAACACCCACACACCAACTCCCTCTCTGGTGCAAAACAACTCTCCAGAAAAAGGAGCAACAAAGAACTAAGGTGAGACCACACAGTAGTATGACCACTGAGCAGCCAAAGAGGTGCAGGACCCTAACAGCATCAGACATGCAAATATCCCCAGATTTCACTGCAAGGCTGTTCTGCAACTATGGTCTAAATACATACACGTATTTTTGGACAGTTACGCTGGGATAAAGGACAGCAGTAGGTGCAAAAAACAATTCACAGTTGTACTATGATCAACTGTCGTAGCACTTCCCAGGAAGCGTGTCAGTCAGCAAGGATTTCACCAGAGGAGCCCCGCAGATGCTGCAGCTTCCCTGCAGAGCCGGCAAGAGCGCGTCAGCGAACCAGGAGAGCCCACAACTGGGAGTTACGGGATTTGCTGCTGAGCCCAAGCCGAGTGCATGCACAGCGGGTATCGGCCAAGTTGAGTACATGACAGTGTTTGTTATAGGTTGCCCAAGTATCTTTTTGTTAGCCCACAGGTGGCCTTTTTCACCTTCTCAAATTCAAACTGCATATAAAAATGGCTGACAGGGGATGGCACAATGTCAAAGCACAAATGCCCACTCAGAGCAACCTCCTATTTATGACTTGGGCCGTGTGAACTAGCTACCAAAAGCTGTCGGCTGGAAGACAGTTCATCTTCTCTGTGACGTTACGTCCTTATCTCTGTGCTATCTGTAATACAAGATAATAACCTCACGCATCCAGCCTTGAGCAAATCCAATACCCCACCTAAGGAGAAATGAGAAATTTAGTACACAGGTCTAGTTTCTTAACCTAAATCTCTCAAAATGTCACCTAAATCTTATGAGGAACCTGAGCACCGAGTGCATTGTTCACCCTCACAGATGCTAGGAAGGGAGCGGAGAAGCAAGACTCACACTTACATACCTATAATACCAAGTTAAGTGTCTACCTTCAGATCTCCCAGGTGGGCATTTTGGTTAGCATCTGTAATTTATTAATGACTATGGATGGAAAGCTATGCTTCTAAAAGTGAAGTAAAGATGGGACATTTTAGTAGTATGTAAACACCCTACAATACACTTACAGCAACCTGAAATAAAATAGTCACAAGAATTATTCAATCAAATGAGATAATTTGTCAAGGTTCTTGGCATGAATGAGTCCAGTACTAGCAAAAATGGACATGGGGAACAGGAAATGTAACAGCAAGATGTTACTGGTCCCAGTGGCAGATGTTTGCAAAATCAATTCTGCACAACTGTTTTCATTACTGTGTGCAAGATCTGCAGTCAGAACTAAACATACCCAAGTACACCATCAGAATAAAAACTACACTTTCCAAATACTTTGTTTCACTTCAAACCAACAGAGCTTTTCCTCCTCTGTCCCCAAGGGGAGATCTGATGAGAATGTGAGTAGAGGCAGAACACTCAACAGCTTTCACATCGAGTTTACAGTTTGGTAGGCTAAGATTAGATTAATTAGAGCAGGATTTATCAAAAAGAGCAGCACGTTATTAATCAGTCATTTCCTGCATATTGTTCTTTTCCTCTTTAATCTTACTAGCTAACACTGCCGCAGGTATAATCATTAAAACTATGAAAGTTGGCTTGCGCCTAGAATGGAG